TAAGGATCTAGCTTTAGTTTTCTACATGTAGTTAACCAATTTTGCCAGCACCATTTACTGAAGAGGCAAGACAGAATTTTTTTTTACTCTATTCTCCTTATTAGACAGCTTTCTTTGGCTATAACAAAATATCTGAGATACAGTTCTAATGGTTTTAGTCCATGGTTTGTTATCCCATTGCTTTTGGATTTGTGAGGCTGCACATGATGATGGTTGTGCATATCTGAGCAAGAAGCAGAGAGAGAAAAACACGCAGGAGTCAAGAGTTCTGATGCGTCCTGCAACAGCAGTCCTGTGTTGACTTCCCTCTATTAGGCTTCCCTCCTGACAGTGTCATGGGCTAGGGCCCAGGCCTTTGTGAGGATGCTTCAGATCTAAACTAGGCATCCTCTTTCTAAACTAAACTGAATAGAAATATGGCATTCTCTTTCCTCTCAAACCCTTTTCACACATACTTAATCTTCACCATTAACATTTCACCTTTCTTCACTTTTCACCCCTCTGTGGCCCCACTTTCACAACACTACTATTACTCTTTCTGGGGCCACTAAGAACCTCTCACTTGTTAGGGCTAAGTGTCACTTTTAAAAGCTTCATTTATTTAAATTATTTTTAAGTAGTTGTACAATGGGGTTTCAATTAAAAATGTTGATTTAGGGCTGAGAAGGTGGCTTAGTGGTACACTGCTTACCTAGCATGCATAAAGCCCTAGGTTCGATTCCTCAGTACCACATAAACAGAAAAGCCAGAAGTGGCACTGTAGCTCACGTGGTAGAGTGCTAGCCTTGAGCAAAAAAGTTCAGCAACAGTGCCCAGGCCCTGAATTCAAGCCTCAGGACTGGCAAAAATAATGTCGATTTATAAGTACAATGCATCTTGAGCAGTGTCATCCCTTCCACTATTCTCTCCATCTCTTTCAGGCCCACCCATTCCCTCAAGTTACCTGGTTCCATTTTCATATATGTACATATTGCATATTATGATTACATTCTTTTCTTCTCTCTATTCATCTACCCCTTTCACTTTGCCCTCACCATTCCAATGATACATGTTCCAGCATTCTGGTATTCATTTTGTTAAGCTATAAGTTAGTTGTTCAAAAAAGTTAGACCATTGGAATCCTCTCCTGTATCTACCATAATTAATATGTTTGTGTATGTGCATATTACTCTTAAGAATCACTTTAAAAATTATTTTGGTTGGTTGTGGGGCTTGAACTCAAGCTCTTCAGCTCAAGGCAAGTGTTCTACCACTTGAGCCACAGTGCCACTTCCAGTTTTCTGGTGGTTAATTCTGGATAGGGTCTCATGGACGTTCCTGCCAGATCTCAGCCTCCTGAGTATCTAGGATTACAGGTGTGAGCCAACAGCACCCGGTTAAGGATCACTTTTAACCTCTTATTTTGACCTTTTCTGCTGCATTTGGTACTGTTGACTCATGACTCATAGAACTGTCTTTAATCCAGCCATTCCCTCCTGGCTCTCTTTCTACCTTTCAGGCTGCTTCTACACAGGTTGACTCCTATAATATCCCCTCTTCCTCTGTTTGCCTTTCAAAGTGTGTATGTGTGTGTGTGTGTGTGAGAGAGAGAGAGAGAGAGAGAGAGAGACAGACAGAAAGAGAGAGACAGAGACAGAAAGAGAGAGAGAGAGAATATGTGTCACTGGGAGATAGAACTTCAGGGCCTTGTGCTTGCTAAGTAAATTCTACCACTTGAGCTATGGCTTTAATTCTTTTTGTCTTTTTAGATAGGATCTTATACATTTTGCACAGTTCAACCTTGGATCATGATCCTCTTACCTCCCATTTAGCTGGGATTATAAGTGTGTGCCACCACATTCAACTTGTATATTGAGATAAAGTCTTGATGAATTTTTTGGTCTGGAAGGGCCTCAAACTGATCCTTTTACCTACACCTCTTAAATAGTTGCAATTATAAGCAGGAGCTACTATCCACATCCACTCTAAAGTTCTCTACTTTGTTTGGGGGTGGGGGGGCTGTGAGGCTTGAACTCTGGGCCTGGGTGCTGTCCCTCAGCTCTTCAGCTAAAGGCTAGCACTCTACTACTTAAAGCCACAGCACCAATTCCAGTTTCCTGGTGGTTTATTGGAGATTAGAGTCTCATGGACTTTCCTACCTGGGCTGGCTTTGAATTATGATCCTCAGATCTCAGCCTCCTTAGTAGCTAGGATTACAGGCATGAACCACTGGTATCCGGTAAATTCTCTACTTTTTAGGGATTTTTCTCACTTTTGATTTGACCTGGACAGTAATAGCTGTGCACATAGTTTCTACTACCTTTTCTATTGAGCTAGTGGCCAAATCAATCCTCTAGCTAACATCCTTCCCTTACTTGGTTGTCCTCTGCACTCTATCTAAAACTTGCTGCTGCTACTTCCATGTTTACTCTTTAGAGTAATGGTACTACCAATTACCTAGTTACTTGACTACACATTTCAGAGTTATCTTTGACTCTTCCCATGTATTTCCTCATTATGTTCTGCTCAATTTTTATATTTACCCTCCTTTTCAGACCCCTACTGCTTTCTTACTTTAGGTGTTAATGGAATTTCATGAATGGAGAATCTCTTTGGTCTTCTGCCACCACAATGATCTTTTCTTTTTTGGTCTTTATGTGTGTGCATGCTGGTGCCAGGGCACCGACCCTTAGCTTTTTTCACCCAAGGCTGGTACTCTAGCACTTGAGTCAAAGCTCTACTTCCAGGTTTTTTTGGTTATTAATCCAAGATAAGAATCTCATAGACTTTTCTACCTGGTCTGGCTTTGAATCTTGATCCTCAGATCTCAGTCTCTTGAGTAGCCAGGATCACAAGCATGAGCCACTGGCACCTGGCTCACAATGATCTTTTTAAAAATGAATATCTGATCCTGGCACTCCTGTACTTTCATCACCATAGTAGTTCCCTATTGCCACAAGATAAAATAATACTTGTTCTCTGGACCCTTAGTTTCCTGTCCAGCTCTGTCTCTCCTCTACCCAGTTTCAATCATTACAAAGTGACTAAAGAGTTTTCTGCCTGTTCTGTGTCTTATTGCCTGTGTATATGCTGTCATTTCCCCCTGATGAAATATACTTTCCTCCCTGTTTATCTGGCAAGTTCTTACTCATCTGACAAGACCTACTTGAACTGTTTTCTCCTTTTTGATTATCTTATGCCACTGTCTTATTTGCTATCAGTTCAGTTATTTGTTTTAAATGTTTGTTTCCTTTGTATTCCTAATATAGCTATAGTGTATCTCATCCAGTCACTCAGCAATTACTGGCTAAAGAGGCAAATAAGTTAATTGATTAATTAAATAATTGGCTTTCTTTACCTGAGGAAGTCCTACTCTGTCATCAAGATTTACACTTCCCAAATTATTCCCTCTATTCTACATTCTTTGGTCCAAGACTAGGACTTGAACTTGGTGTCTGACACTTTCACTCATTGGCTGGCACTTCCACCTGAGCCACACCTCCAACCCCATTTCTTCTACATTTTGAACACATGTTCATTCTAACACTTATCACATTACCACTTGTTTACTTGTATTTTTCATTGAATTGTGTGTTGTTCTTTAAATTCCTCATGTCTACCATTCTGGTATAATTCAACAAATGTAGAAAAAGGAAAGGAAGGAAATTCTTCAAGATAGCCCAGCTACTCAGTAGAAACCTAATTCAGATCTCAGAGGATACTTTCTGAATGTATTATCACAGTCCTCAGAGTTAAAGATGAAGAAATTGAAAAAAAATTGTTTCATTGGCCCTTACAAAAGAATATATACAAAAGAATATATATACAAAAGAATATACATTAACTTGTAGCAGCAGTACGTTAAGCATCTACTTACATTTTAGGCTCTTCAGAAGCAGAAATTGTTTCTCATCTTTGTATCTAGGGATGCAAATAGTATCTGCCTGGCATATAGAGGTACACAATTTTTTAATGAATACGCCTGCTGATTGTAGCTTATGCTACTTAGGAGGCTTAGATCTGAGGATTACAGTTCAAAGCCAGTCCAGGCATGAAAGTCCGTGAGACTCTTTATCTCCAACAAACTACCAAAAAGCTTTAAGTGGAGTTTGGCTTAAATGGTAGAGTGCCAACCTTGAGCAGAAAAACCAAGCCAGAGTATGAAGCCTGGAGCTCAAGCCCTAGTACTGGCATGTGGGTACGCACACACACACAGACACACACACACACACACACACACACCAAAGAATGAATAAGTATATGATCAATACTAATTGCCCAAATTAACCAAGCTGAATAATTGTTTTGATCTTTCTATCATTCTGATTGTATAGAAATCAGCCTGAGACAAGCAATCTCATCAATTTTTCAGATGGAAGAGTTTGTACTAATAAGACTAGATGGTTATATGGTGCTGGACACCTGTAATCCTAGCTACTCAGGAGGCTGAGATCTGAGGATCACAGTTCAAACAAAGCCAGCCCAAGCAGGAAAGTCTATGAGACTCTTATCTACAATTAACCACCAGAAAACCAGAAGTGGTTCTGTGGCTCTTAAGTGGTAGAGCACTAGCCTTGAGCAAAAAGAGCTCAGGTCAGTGCTCAGGTCATAAGTTCAGGCCCCATAACAGAATAAAAAGACTAGAAGGCCAGTGGAAATCATATTCAGGTCTTGGATTGAAATGAAAAACTCTCCTGTGTTTTTGAGGTTGTATTTCTTCTCTTACCCATGCCTTCCTCTGAGCTTTCTCTTCAGAAGTTCTGTGAATTTAGACCCCTCTGTTATTTTTTCTTTTTTGTCCTGCATGGGTTGATTTTATTTTCCTATTAGTAAATTTTCTTGCACCCGAATATTTTCTTTTCATTCCCCATAGAGTTTTCTGAAGAAATGGGAAGTGATTAATGTGGCACAGTTAGACCAAGTTCTTGGTGCCATAGGGATAGTATGGGGAAATACTATTGATTAACCCCACATGCTATGTAAAGGTTGCTTATGATACCTTTTGCCTCTTCTCTTCACAGGCAGTGGAGGAAGAAAAGGCCAGTGTCTTAGTCCATTGTTCTGATGGTTGGGATCGGACATCACAAGTTTGCTCGGTGGCAAGCATCATCCTAGACCCATTTTATAGGACGTTCAAAGGACTCATGGTAAGCAAGTGATTCTGCTTTCTTGTGTGTATGTGAAAGATGGTAAATAAATTTCAAAGAACTCTGAACTAACTTGTTAATTTGCAAGAATTTGCTCTGAGTCTATAAAATAGCTCTGTTTTCCAGCTTAGCTACTATTAAACAAGTCATGTACAGTCTTGTATATTTATCAGAAGGTAAGTTCTATGTAATAGGCTACAGTAAGAGATGGAAAAGGCTAAAAGTTGAATGGATGACAGTTAACTAGGCTGTTTGTTGGCTTAATAATGTTCACCATGTTGTCTGTGTGAATTTCAGACTCAACATTTCTTTCTGGTGCTGAATTCTTTCAAGGCTTCTTAGTCTTCCTAAGAAATAGGTCTCATGATAGTGTTTTAGCTTCATTTCTTTGGGATTTTCTTTTTAATGGTTGAAAATGGTTGTCTTATTGATACTAACTTAAATGCTACTTTTGGATTCCTATTATCCAGAGGTTGAATTTAAACTTGTGCTTATCAGAATTACATTTAGTACACTGGATACAAATCTAAAATAATTTCTCCTGAGAGCTTATGGAAGTTTGGAGACAGTCTATGCAGGCCCATTATTGAAATCTGACTTAATTATCACTGGGGAGATTTATTTTATTATTCAATCTTTTCAACAAAATTTTTTATATGTTTGTATGTATAGTTAGTTCCTTTAATGATTTTCCTAATGCAGTCTTTTCTTTTTTATATAAAAATGAAGATCCTAATAGAAAAGGAATGGATATCTATGGGCCACAAGTTCTCTGAAAGGTAAAAAGTACCATCATTTTAAAGGAGGGGGCTGAGATTTCACAGGAAGGGTTGATAAAAACCCAAGTATTTGTGTAGGAAGATCAGGAAGTTGAACAAGTCCTTAATTTATTTCTTTCATCAAGAAATAAGTATTGTAGGACACTAAGGCGAAAAGGTGACTAGAATGTCATCTCTATTTTGAAAGAATGCAGGTGATTATATCAAATTGTTAAGTATTTTGGTAAAAACAGTCATCACAAACCCCAAAGAGAAAAGTCCTTTCATCTTTATGAAGAAGTCAGGGTAGGTTTACAAGAGTAGGTAACATTTAAGGGTGAATTATTAGAGATGACAGAGTTTGGTAAAACAGTGGGTGGAGAAGGATATTTAATCAGTGGGATTAGAGTCTAAGATAATGTACCACTTAATGTTTTTGTTAGAATGTATGTTAGGCATCTGTGGCTCATGCCTGTAATACTAGCTACTTAGGTGGCTGAGATCTGAGGATCATTGTTCAAACCTAGCCCAGGCAGCAAAGTTTGTGAGACTCTTATCTCTAATTAATCATCAAGAAGTTGGAAGTAGAGGTATGGCTCAAGTGGTAGAGTGCCAGCCTTGAACTAAAAAGCTCAGCAAGAGTTCAAGGCCCTGCATTCAAACCCCAGTACTGCCACACACAAAAAAAGAAAGACTGGTATATATTTCTGTTCTTTAGTAAGGGGCTGGAGTAAAAGCTACCATTACCTACTGTATAATCTAAACTAAGCCACTCACTAAGGCTTTGCTATGATACCAGATCAATAAATACTTGCCATATAAGTACCAAAGTATATGCTGTATACCAGATCAGACACTGAGCCAGTCCCAAAGGCAAATGAGTTTTACTCTCAAGGAAGTTACAGTGGTCCCCAATTGATATGCATCCATTTATTTTTGTTTGCTATTTGATTCAGTCCACTCCTTGCTTCATCCACAATGTTGGGCCTGTCCATTTGTCAGATACTAAGGAGATGAAATTGAGTCAAGGGCTCTAATCCCTTCTTTGTAAAGAAAAAGAAATCAGTGGTGACAGCATATTATAAATGCTAAGATAGAGGAAATCATAAAAAAAGGAACTTGATCCATTTTAGAGCAAAGAAGTCTTCTTTGAACAGGTCCAATTTAAGTTTTAAAAAACTTAAATTCATATTCATAATATGAATAATTATTACTTAGAAAAGAGGAAAATATTCTAGTATGGATGTATATGAAACCATAGATGTATGAAACAGGATGGCGTACTTCAAGAACTGAAAGCAATTCATTGTGCCTGGTCCTTAGAGTACATAGGTAGAAAGATGAAATGAGTCCAGGAAACTGAGTCCATTAAGGAGATCATTGAAGGCTCTGATTTTTTTTTCTTCTAAGAAAGTAGAATATGAGTATATAAATGTCTTTTCTTAGAATCATGACTATAAAGGATGTAAATGAGAGACTGATACCTAGATAGAGTTGTGAGTTTTAAGAAGGGTATTTCAAGACAGAAGAAATTTAAGCATGCTCTTGTGCTGAGAAGAAGGAAGTAAGTATTAGAGAAGATGAAGGTTTGAAGCACACATTATTTTTGGTCAAGTAAGACTTCTGAGGAGGTAGAAAAAAGTGAAAGCTCAAGTCCAAATGAAAAGGTTAGCTGGAACTATAACTAATGAACACATCCTGAGACTGGATGGAAAACAGGCAGAAAATGAATTGTGTGAGTGCAGAAGTTATAATTTGGAAATTTTGTACTTGATGTCCTCCATTTTTTATAATGAGCTATAGAAGCATACGTACAGGAAGATATGAAATAGAAACAAGGTTCAAGAAATTAACTTAAAATCTGCAATTTTCTCAAACATCTCAACAATTTTCTCAAACAAGTCAGGATGTGGGAGCAGAAAATAATATTTTCTATTAGGTAAATTAAATTGGCAGCAGAGGAAAGAGCAGTAGTACGTGGTATTAAGGCAAGGGAAAGGTTTATTTGCAGGCCACCTCTGGTCACAGCAGGAATAAAGGATATAACCACAGGCAGGCCAGACTTATCAAGGCCTGGGAAGGAAGAAGGTGTGGCCACACCTTATGTGGATGTGACCTCAGGGAGGGGGGGTGGTGACTGCCTCCAAGTGTGTTGGTTACCTAGGTAACACAGGTACTCCTCCACCTTCCCAGGGTGGACCTTACATTTTCAGCTTATCTGTGGGTTTTAGAGGAAAATAATGATAAGAAAGGCCAGAAAACTGAGTAAATGGAGAGAGAATAATTGACAGAACAGATGATAAAGTCAAGGATGGATAAAGAAGAACAGAAAGCCCTTAGGAACCTATTCTGGGATAACTGGGAGAGAAGTTTTCAGAGTGAGATACTAGGATTCAAATTTCAAAGGAGGAACAGACCTTCCAAATAGGCTCAAGAACCAACCTATGGCAATGGATTCAGAGACTTAAGTGCAATAAAAGTAAAGATCAGAGAAGATAATTGAATTTGAGTTATCTAAGGAAGCTTTTAGTTTAGTCTGTGTAGGTCATCAACTAGCAACAAAGATTAATGCTTAAGACCAGGGTCAAAGTCTACAGAGAATGTGGAGAAGTGACTCAGAGGTTGGTAGAAGATACCTTTGAGGAAAGAGGGAAGTATATGAGCTAGACAGCATGACCTATGTTGAAATTTTGGGAAAATGTAAAAGGAGTAGTAGTTTGGAAGCAGTAATATTAGCAAGGAAACCAGCAGAACCTGCCTTTGTTCTGCTTGAGGGTTATGGTATATGGAGAGTGGAATGATAAGTATTCTCTGGTTTCAGGGGTGTTTTCTTTTTTCTTTTTCTTTTTTTGCCAGTCCTGGGACTTGACCTCAGGGTGTGGGCACTGTCCCTGAGCTCAAGGTTAACATTCTACCACTTGAGCCACAGCACCATTTGGTTTGGTTTGGTTCCTCAGTATCACATAAACAGAAAAAGCTACCAGCTTTTTCTGTTTATGTGATACTGAGGAACCAAACCCAGGGTTTCATGCATGCTAATCAAGCACTCTACCACTAAGCCACATTCCCAGCCAGCATTCTCAGTTTAATTTGAGCTTCAAGAAGAGATCATATCTTTGGTGATTAGGGTAAAAATATTAGAAGGTAGAGAACCTTCAGCACAGAGGATAGGAATGCTATGTTTGTTTCCAGAGGAATAAGATTTGCTATGGGTTATAAGGTTGATATAGGAGACATTGTTGAGGAAGTTTTATTCATATATTTAATACTTTTTTCTTAAATACCTATTTTGTGTGAAGTACTTTGCAGTAAGCAATTTGGATGGGGTCCTTGTTCACATTAAGCTAAAGGTGGCTGTTTGCATTTAAATTAGTGTAATTAAATGTAACTAAAAATCCAGTTCCTCAGTCACTAGTCCACATCTCAACCATTAGTGACTACCATATTATAGTTCTGCTGGAAAGAGAGCATAAAAGAAAATAGCTGGGTGCTGGTGGCTCACAGCTGTAATCCTAGCAACATAGAAGAATCAGAGGATTGAGGTTTGAAGTCAACCTAGGCAGGAAAGTCTCTGAGATTCTTATCTCCAATTAACCCCCAGAAAACTAGAAGTGGCATTGTGGCTCAAAGTGGTAGAACACTAACCTTGAGTGATAAAGTCCAAGGACAGTGCCCAGGCCTGCTTGAGTTCAAGCCCCACAACTGACAAAGGAAGAAAGAGAAAATAGACTACATGATCAAAGGACCTACAGTCTAGACAATAGTGAAGGATGCCATTGGCTAAGAGGCCCCCTGAGATCAACTAGATTTGAGATTTAGACTGGCATTTTACCATGAGGTATTTCTTTGCCAAAGCCAACAGAGAAGGTGATCTTTTATAGCATATTCCAAACAGTGTAGTAGTAGTAGTAGTTGTAGTAACAACAACAACAACAACAATAATAATTTCTTACTGTTTCTGGTATTATGGTTTTAACTCAGTCCTTTACACTCAGCTTGCTTATTTAGCTTGTTTGCTCTACTGGTGATTCATTGAGCTATGCCTCCAGATGAGCTTTTTGCTAGTTATTGAAGAGATGCAGTCTCATATATTTTTCTGTTCAGACTGGCTTTGAACCATGATCATCTAAATATCAGCCTTCTGAGTAACTAAGATTACAAGCATGAGACACTAGCACCCAGCTCAGCGTAATCCTTGATGCTAATAGTATCTTTATCTGTTTCTTGTAGATGTGGCCACATGGAAGGGGACCCTAAAGAAGTGTCCCCTATCTTCACTCAGTTCCTAGACTGTGTTTGGCAACTAATGGAACAATTTCCTTGTGCCTTTGAATTTAATGAAAATTTCTTGCTGGAGATCCATGACCATGTTTTTTCCTGCCAGTTTGGAAATTTCCTTGGGAACTGCCCAAAGGATCGCGAAGATTTAAGGTAAAAATCAGTTTGTATGAAAACACCAAATAGGGAGTAGGAAGACCATGGAAAAGAATGAAGCCAACCCCTGAATTTAAAATAGCAGTCAGAAAAGGAGAGGAAGTAATAATGAAAACTTTTTTTTGTTGGTTGTGGGGCTTGAATTCCAGGCCTGGACGCTGTCCCTCAGCTTTTCAGCTCAAGTCTAGCACTCTACTACCTGACCCACATTGCCACTTCTGGTTTTCTGGTGGTTTTATTGGAGATAAGAGTGTCAAGAATTTCCTGCCCAGGCTGGCTTTGAACTTCAATCCTCAGATCTCAGCCTCCTGTGGAGCTAGGATTACAGGTGTGAGCCATTGGCACCTGGCAAAAAGAACTTTTAATGTATAAAGCACTCCATGTTTGAGGAACCAATGAAATGGTGGATGTGCAAGAACTTTGTATTGTCTATAGTCTTTTTTGCTTGTATCAGAAATTGCACACTGGCAGTCCTTAGTCTTATCCTAGCCTTACAGGCACAGTTTACTTAGTCTGCATTGGTTTATTTTTTTGTATTTGGTGGGGTTTTTGTTTCTGTTTTGCTTTTAGAGACAGATTTCACTGTGTGCCTCAGGGTGGCCTAGAATTTTTTATATACCTGCCTAGCTTCAAACTCATCCTCCTGTTTCAGCCTCTCTAGTGTTGAGATTTCAGGTGTGTGCTACCACATCTAGTTTGAAATTCTAAACTATGAATTCAGTTAAAAGCATTTAAATATTAGGGATTTCACATAAAAATCCAATTAACTTAGGCATTGTTTCCTGAAGTAGATAATCCAGTATACCAAGAAATTCTGAAAAATGAAGAACTCTTAACAAATTTTTGTGTCAGTACTGGGGCTTGAACTCAGAGCCTTACTCTTTTCTAGCTTTTTCTATTCAAGGCTGGCACTTTACCACTTGACCCATAGCTCTCTAGTTCCAGCTTTTTGCTAGGTGATTGGAGATAAGAGTCTCTTGGACTTGTCTATCTGAGTTGGCTTTGAACCACAGTCCTTAGATCTCAGCTTCCTGAGAAGCTAGGATTATAAGACTGAAGCTAACTCTTATTGGCCATAGTACTTGCTACTCTCTTTGGCTTTTTTGGCCCACTTCTAAGGTTATCTGTGCAGTTCCTTAAGCAATTCGGTTGTATTTTCACCCCTAATTTAAATGAACATTCCTAAAACAAATAAAACATAAATACTTTTTGAGATTGACAAGATAGAACAACTGTAAATGGTAATCTCCCTATTTTAGACCAGAAAAAGAAAAGAAACTAGCTGCAAAATTGAAACAACCCTGTTTCATATTAGAAGTTAGCTCAAGTTCTTGGGCCCTGTCATGACATTGCCTAGATGACATGACCTTTCTGAGATTCCATTTTCTTGTTAACACAGACAATAGTGATATATCTTTCTGCTTTAACATTTTTACTTTACTTGGTTGCTATCAGATACATTTCTGTCTTTTTTTGTTAGTCCCTCCCCAAATGCTTTTATATGTATTCAGTCTGAGTAAGCATTAAAACACTAGATTTTTTTCTATAATATTTTACCCTCTTAGAATGAGAATCATGTCTTTGGATCCATTTCTCACATAAATCTGAATATCTTTGTAGATGATTTTAGAAACATTTGAACATTTAAAATGGTAATTACTTGATGGCAGAAATGTCATTTACTCATAAAAGGAAAAGCAGGGGCTTTAGAATCAGGCAGATCTAGATTCAGACTTAGACTGTCATCTATTATATGTGTGACCCTTAGCATGTTAATGTTTTCTTATTTTCTTCCTAGTAGCTTGAAACTAAAACACCATCATAGAACTTTATTATGGACATTTAAGGAAGTATTTTGGGCAATGTTTGGAACAGTGTTTAACACATAATAAATATTAGTCACTTCATCTGAGGTTTTTTTCCTATTTTTAAACAGTATATAAGAAAGTTGAATATTCAGGACAGGACTAGAATTTTAGGACCATATTTCTGCTTTCCATTCTCTTTTTTTTTTTTTTGTCTTTTCTTTTTTGGTACTGGGGATCGAACCCAGGACGTTGCGCTTGCTAGGCAAGCGCTTTGCCACTGAGCTACATCCCATCCCTCCATTCTCTTTTAACTTTCTTTGACATATGCATACAAAAGACCTTCCCACCTGGTTTCCCAAAATCCTCATTGGCAACCAATATATCTACACATTTTCTTCCACATCAACCACATGCTGGTTGAGCAGGTTCTTCATAGTATCAACTAAAATGTTGCAAGCAGTTTTGCAATATTTATACTATAATCTTTGGTTCCCTACCTAAAATAATTCATGATTATCTCCTCATATAAATTGCTGTTGTCTTCAGAAGGAAGGTGAAGCTGGCTTAAAATAAAAAGAAATAACAGAACTGCCAGAAATTTACCCAGCAGGATCCTTATATCTTAACATACCAGAGGTTTGTGGAGTTTATTTTTTAGCAGTACTAGGGATTATTGAACAATGCTCTGCTCGCTCTCACTTAAGTCACATGCCAAGTCCTTTTGCTTTTTAGTCCATTTTTCAGAAAGGATCTTTTTTTTTGTCCATCATGGGGCCTAAACTCTGGGCCTGAGCATTGTCTCTCAGCTCTTCAGCTCAAGGCTAGCACTCTACTGCTTGAGCCACAGCACTACTTCCAGCTTTTTCTGTAGTGCTGAGGAATCAAACCCAGCATCTCATGCATGCAAGGCAAGTACTCTACCACTGAGCCACCTTCCCAGCCCAGCATCTTTTATTTTTGCCTGGACTGGCTTTAGAGTGCAGTCCTCCTACCACCACCTCCTGAGTAGCTAGTATTACAGGTGTAAGCCACTATATTCCATAAAGACAATTCCATAATTTTTTTAAAGACTGGAAAAATAATCAGTTCATAGAATTCTAAATTTGGAAGAGAAGTTAACAGGTCACATCTTTTCCTTCCTTCCTTCCTTCCTTCCTTCCTTCCTTCCTTCCTTCCTTCCTTCCTTCCTTCCTTCCTTCCTTCCTTCCTTCCTTTCTTTCTTTGGTAAGTTGTGGCACTTGAACTCTGGACCTAGGCGCTGTCCCTCAGCTCTTCAGCTCTAGGCTAGCGCTCTACCACTTGAGCCACAGCAAGCACCACTTCCAGTTTCCCGGTGGCTAATCGGCGACAATAGTCTCACGGACTTTTCTGCCCAAGGTGGCTTTGAACTGTGATCCTCAGCTTTCAGCCTCCTGAGTAGCTAGGATTACAGGTGTGAGCCACTGGTACCTGGCTTCACATTGTACTTTCTTAGCTTGGAAATTGCTAAGAAGTTTTCTAATATCACACAGCCACTTGCGAGCAGAGACTGAAACTAGAACCTCTTTCTCTCTATAGAGAACTCTTTCTAAACTCATTTATTTAAACATGGATAAAAATAAAACTCAAATACTTTGTTATTCTACTAACATTCATTAGTCATTTCTATTTTCTATCATATTTTATCACCTCTCTTGAGATGGGCTAATTACTAGTTAAACATAGCTGATTATCAAGTTCAACAGTACTACTGACATATTTTTCTTTTTTAACAGAGTCCTTGATAAAACACATTCCGTGTGGCCTTTCTTGATTCAGAAGAAAGCAGACTTCAGGAACCCTCTATATAAAGGCAAAACTATGTATGGGGTCCTCAATCCTAGTGTGCTACCCTACAACATTCAGTAAGTTGTTTTGTTTATGGTTTTGTTTTGCTGTATTTTGTCAGTACTAAGGTCTGAACTCAGGACTTTATACTCACTGAGGAGTAGAAAATGACTGGGAGATAAATGTTATAATACTCTTTTACCAAAATTCAGTAGCCTGCTTTTTCATTTATTACTTATCATCATTGTTTTAAATTTTTTATTGAATTCTACAATTTTGAAAAATGTGAGTCTTAGAATTTTTTCCTTTAAGAAATAAAAAACAGCCAGATATCAGTGACTCACATCTGTAACCCTGTCTACTCAGGGGGAGACCTAAGGATTGCAGTTCCAGGTCAGCCTAGGCAGAAAAGTACATGAGACTCTTAGCTCCAATTAACAACTAAAAAGCCAGAAGTGGCTGTATTTCAAAGTGGTAGGACACGAGCCTTGATCACAAAAGCTCAGGAACAGTGCCATCAGTGCCAAATCCCTGAGTTCAAACCCCAGGACTGATACACAAAAAATAAATAACAGCTATAGAGGATTATAATATATACATATATGTATCCCTATAATTTCCTTCTTTTCCCCAGTAAGTAAAAATAAAACACCCAGATATTATAAAATAAACTACTATAAAAGAAAGAGGAAAAATAAAAATTAAATTAAGTCCACAGGAACTACAAGAACAATATGATGATGAATACCATGGTTTTCTTATTGCCTGATAGCTTAGACATGAAGCTAAAAAAATGAGCAATCTAGAGATTCCAAGACCACCAAAGCAAAACTCACAAACATTGCTCTGTCTAGCCAAAGAACTAGAAAAGGGGCAGACTAATAAGATAAGAAAATTTTAGACAATATCTCTCTTACTATCAAAAATAACCATAGATGGCGAGGTGCCCATGGCTTCACTCCTGTAATCCTAGTTGCTCAAGAGGCTGAGATCTGAGGACGGCAGTTTGGAGCCTGCCTAGGAACATAAATCTTCTGGTCCATGAGACTCTTATCTTCAGTTATCCACCAAAAAGACAGAAGCATAGCTGTGGTAGAATGCCAGTCTTGAGCAAAAAAGCTAAGGGACAACACCCTGGCCCGGAGTTCAAGTCCCAATACTGGCACAAAAAAAGACCACGTAATACCTTACGTATGCTAAAAAGGTCAATTTGATGTTTGTGCATCAAGCAACAGAGATGTAAGATATGTGAAGCAAACAGAGAACTGAAAAAAGTTCTAAGAAACATATAATTAGAGGTGGAGATATCAGCACTCCTTTTTCAACAATTGATAGAAAAAATACACAGAAAAGCAGCAAGAACATAGAAGAACTCAAAAGCACAATCATTCAGCAAGATCTGCCCCACATTATTTTTCAAGCACCATGAACATACACTAAGATCATGTCCTAAGCCATTAATATGCTCACCAGTCTTTTTAAAAATTAAAATTAGTGGGGCACCAATTGCTCACACCTATAATCCTAGCTACTCAGGAGGCTAAGATCTGAGGATCATGGTTCAAAGCTAGCCCATGCAGGAAAGTCTGTGATACTCTTATCTCCAGTTAACCACCAGAAAACAAAAGTGGTGCTTTGGCTCAAGTGGTAGAGCACTGCCTTGAGTTGAAGAGCTCAGGGACAGTGCTCAGGCCTAGAAATAAGTGCTACAACTGACAAAAAATTGGGCTGGGAAGGTGGCTCTGTGGTAGAGTGCTTGGCCTTGCATGCATGAGGCCCTGAGTGATTCCTCAGCACTACATAAGCAGAAAAAAAGCTGGAAATGGTGCTGTGGCTCAAGTGGTAGAGCACTAGCCTTGAGCTGAAGAGCTGAGGGACAGTGCCCAGGCCCAGAGTTTAGGCCCCGTGACTGACAAAAAACATTAAAATTATTTCTAATGTTTGCTCTGACCCAAATAGAATAAACTAGAATTAATAACAGAAGGACAACAGGAAAATCTAGGAACATTTGGAAACTAAGCTAGTTCTGAATAACTTGTATATCTTACAGTAGTTTCAAGGAGAAATTAAATTGAAATATGAATATGTAACATACCAAAACTTATGGGACATAGCTAAAGCAGTGCTGAGAGGTGATTTATGAAACACAATGTTTAACATTTGAAAGAAAGTCTCAACTATTCTAAGCTATGTATAACCTATAAAAATCCATAACAAGAAAGAAATGAATAATTTACTGCAGAGAGATGGACAAAAAGAGCCTGGAATGAAGCAAAGAATATCACTGCAAACCCCATAGACATGAACACATAATAAAGGAAATCACAGACAGTCTTCAACTGAATACAGTTCAAATTTTTTAGCTTTATGGTGGTGTGAAATTGATAAGCATTCAGTAGAAATACTATCGATTTTGATCTTTTCCTGAGCTAGCAATATCTGGCACAGTGTTCTCTTGGGATGTTGGGTAATAGCAATGCCCTAGAGCTCTAGTCAGCCCTTGTAATGCCAAAGCTACACAACTGGTACTTTGCAGTATAAAATGTTGCTAAACTATGATGTTTGGGAGTTTATATGTATTAAATGAATTTTTTACTTAGGATATTTTCAACTATACTGTTTAAAGACAAGTGTGGTGATACATACCTATAATCCCAGCACTGGTAGGGCCAAGGTAGGAGGAATGTGAGTTTGTGGCAACTCTGAACTACATAGTAAGTTCCAGGCTTTGCTGAAGCTACAGGCTGAAGACCTGTCTCAAAAAAAAATAAAAATAATCAAGAGAATAGGATAGAGAACCTAGAACTAAACTCAAATAAGTATATCTCAATTAACTTTAAACTCCATTCAAAAGGAAAGACAGCTTTTTTAAAATAGATAATTCTAAGGTAGGTAATTCATCAGCCTTCCCTCCAAAATGTGGTTTTGTGTGCATGCATGCGAGCGTGCATGCGTGCATGCATGTGTGTGTGTGTGTGTGTGTGTGTGTGTGTGTGTGTGTTTATCCTGTAGCTTGAACTCAGGGCCTGGGCACTGTCCCTGAGCTTTTTCACTCAAGGCTGACACTCTACAACTTGAGCCATAGCTCCGCTTCCAGCTTTTTGGGTGCTTAATCGGAGATAAGAGTCTTACAGACTTTCCTACCTGGGCTGGCTTTGAACCATGATCCTCAAATTTCAGCCTCCTGAGTAGCTAGAATTACAGGCATAAGCCGTTGGTGCCTGGCTCCAAAACTAGTTTGACTTATACAAAACTGAACATAAAATGGATTGTAAGTGTCAAGAAATAATCCAGTTAAGAAATGGGCAAATAAAGTTTTCAAAAGTACAAATGGCTAATAAATACATGAAGACATGTTCAACATCTTTAGCTATAAAGGAAATGTAAATTGAAATGACCATATAATTCCATTTCACCCTAATCAGAAGAGCAATCATCAAGGAAACAAACAATAACAAATGCTGGCAAGAATATGGATGGCAGGGGTCACTCTTAATATACTGTTGGTAGGAATGCAAATTAGTCCAGCCACTATGGAGTTCAGAATAAAGGTTACTTGAAAAACTAAAAATCAAACTACCATATGATATTGTCACTTCTGGGCATATATCCAAAGAAATGTAATTCAACATAAAATAAGGATAACTAAACACTCATAGTTACACCAGCACTATTCACACCCATAGTCATACCAGCACTATATGGAATGAGCCTAGTTACCCATCAACCAATGAATGGATTAAGAAAATATGCTATAGATACATGCTATAGAGTATTTTTCAGCCAGAAAGAATAATTTTAAAAAGTGTTTGCTGGAAAATGGATGGAATTAGAGATCATTATGTCAAGCAAATTAAGCCAGACTCAGAAAGATAAATATCACATATTCTGTCTCATATGTGAAATCAAGTCCTTAGAAAATTAATGGGCCAGGTGCCTGTGGCTCCTGCCTATAATCCCAGCTATAGCTACTCAGGAGGCTGAGGTCTGAGGATCATGGTTCAAAGCCAGCCTAGGCAGAAAAGTCCTTGAAACTCTTATCTCCAATTAACCACCACAAAGCCTGAAATGGAGCTGTGGCTCAAGTGCTAGCCTTGAGCAAAAAAGCTTAGGCGCAGTATCAGGACCAGTCCAGACACCAATAAAAGAATGACTAGAATGTGTAACAGGGACTTTGTGGGCATGGGCAGGGGCCAACAGGAAGGGGGAAGAAAAAGAGGGTATATATGGTTGAATTACTTTATATACATGTGTGAAAATAGAATAGCAGAACCTGTTAAAGTTAATTTTAAATGGGATGAGGTTGGGACGAGAGAATAATAGGACTTAGTTTGGTCACAGTGTAGTCATATTTGGAAATATTACAAAGTCACCCTTTATAAACTAGTAGATTCTAATAAGATTATTTGTTACATCTCAAATAAAAAAGAAAAACATGCCAGGTGATGGTGGCTCAGGCCTGTAATCCTAGCTACCCAGAAGGCTGAGATCTGAGGATTGCATTTCAAAGGCTGAGATCTGAGGATTGCATTTCAAAGCCAGCCCAGGCAGAAAAGTCCATGAGACTCTTCAGTTAACCACCAGAAAACTGGAAGTGGTGCTGTGGCTCAAGTGGTAGAGTAGAAGCCTTGGACTGAAGAGCTAAGGGACAGCACACAAGCCCAGAGTTCAAGCCCCATGACTGACAAAAAAAGGAAAAGCCTAACATATTCAATCTTGTAGAAGAAAAGAAAAAAATCATGACATAGGGCATGAGTTTCAGTACCTACCTACTTGATACTGAAAGCATATTCCATAGAAAGAAAGATTGACAAATTACACCTCAACCAAATTAACTTTTACTCTGTGTCTGTGTTTAAATTAGGAGAAAATATTGTAAATCATTATCCAACAGCAAACGATTAGCTAGAATATATAAAGAACTCTTAATGCTCATTAGTAATAGCAAATCCAGTTCAAAACAGGGCAAAAGTCTTGAACAAATGCTGCAGTGAAGAAGATACACAGATGAAAAGATAAATATATGAAATTATGTTCAGCTTATTAGACTTTAGGGAATTAAAAGATCAATCAAATA